ATACATTCATATCTTGTTTATTTGTTTACTCCAATAAAATTTATTTGGATGAGTAAGGGAGCTCGCCACCATTTTAAATTCAGAACACATTCACCAAATATTGATTCTGAAAATTTGTTTAAAATATATACAAACAATGCCAGAGACACATTTGAATTGATAAAACTACACAAAACCAACAGTATAGTATAGAAGCTGTCACATCAGCATCAACTTTAACAACAAAACCCCTCAGTATACGCTCCTCCGCTCCACAGCTCCAATGTTCGGGCGCTCCACCGTTGTAGCAACGGATTTGCGAAATTTTGAATAGTAACAAAATGGCAGCAAACCCGAACCTGACAGCCATGCATGCCAAGAAGTTTCGCAAGTCACGCTAAGGACGAAAAGTATTTGACGTTAAATTGAAAGAATTTCCAAAAAACAGACATTTTTTTATTTCAATCCATTTTAAAGAAACGCGCATTGAAAATGAGCACATCGTCTGAATGAATGAATGGATGAATGAAGCCGTTGCTGCATTTGTATGCATGGCAAGTTGCAGTGAAACTGCACTTTCAGCGCACGCAACGTACGTGACGTGACTTCTTTTTGTGCTCAGCATTTCTACGCAAACAAATGAAGTTTCAGCTGCACTGCCAGCGAAAATGGCTCAGTATTTCACTAATTCCTTAATTTAGGATCGAAAAATTGTTCATTTAAACGGTAATCCTTGTGCAAGTTATGCAGAATAGTTTATTTAATTTCATTATAATCTGGTAAATGGTACAGAAAAATTTAAATAAAAATAAAGAATTTTTTACAAAAAAAAATTATTTAATATTACAGAGACATTGAACCCTAACGTTTTATGCAACCCTTTTTATAATTAACAATTAACTACAATAATTAATTTACAAAGATTACATTTTCTTAACTCTCATTTGAAGATTTTTAAGAATGAGTGTTAGGTTAAATAAGTTAACAATAATTAATTTTCTAAGGCCACACTTCTCTTACTCTCATTCTATGATTTTTAAGAATGAGTGTTAGGTTAAATAATTTAACAATAATTAATTTACAGAAATTTCACTCCCTAAACTCTTATTCAGCGATTTTTAAGAATGAGTGTTTGGTTAAGTATGTAATTTAACAATAATTAATTTACTGTGGTTTAACTCCTTAAACCTTTATACATCGATTTTTGTGACTGAGTGCTTTAAAAAAAATAAAATAATAAATAATTTACTCAGCCTACATTTCCTTCACCCTAATACGACAATTTTTTCGAGTGAGTTTCTACATGAAATATAGTTAATGTTATATAAAATAATTTTACAACAATTCATTACTGAGACTTTAAACTCTAAAATCTAATTTGATATTTTTGTAAATGAGAGTTTCATATAATAATAAAACAATAATTAATTTATTGAGGCCACATACATATTATTGTAAAGAAAATATCATCTAAGATACGCCATCATACCATTTCCTTATTAAATTGGTTATTATACTGGGGTCAACTATCTATATTCGTTCATATTTTAACATTTTACTGTAATGCAATAAAATTACACTAAGATCGACTATCTATACTAGTTCAAAATTTACAATACAATATAGGTAAACCAAATACCTACGTAATACCATATATCAATAAATAAGTTTAAACGTCCATAAGGGTTAATGCTGTAAACATGGAACAAAAAAGGCATTCTAGGAAAATAGTCATTACTTTTAGTAGTTAATAAATTTTTGACGTAGTTGAATAACACTTTAATGTTGTAATTAAAATGCATTTCATAGCTCGAAGGCACTCAATACTTGAAAACAATAATCCACTAACTTTCAACAGGTTCATCATGATGATATGCATCGCAAAAGCTTGTGGGGTTTACTGCTCCTCTGAATTGCATGTATTGACTTACTAACAATAGATATTCACATTATAATAAATCTAGAATAGAAACAATGGGTCTGTTTTTTTATAAAGTTAGTACATAACAAACATAGCCTACATTCCATATTTTCAAATTATTTATTAAAAGTTGTGCTTACACATAGGTATAATGAATATAATCCCTTCTTTTACCTTTTTTTTAGTATACATTGCATTACATAGTTAATTAAATTCAGTTGTTTTTGGACTAATAAAGCCTCAGATTCACTAGTTCACTACTAGTTTCTAGTTCACTAGTTACTAGTTTCTCATAACTGACCTACGACAGATACATTTCGAGATCGACAGACGAAAATCAATTAATTGGTTTGTCATATTGGTCATATGTAGATTTATATGATATATGATAATCTTTTAGTACCTCAGCTTTACTACAATTACAATTTCAAAATATATTTCTTATATTTCATTGCTTTCATAACAAATAAGATTAAAGTGAAACAACCTCATATTGAGAGCTTTCATAAATGTTCGTTTATGTAGCGCAAATAACCTGACAAAGTGCTAACAAAGATACAACTTATTCGACAACATTTAAGATAGAAATAAAACCGATTATATATATGTGTGGTATAAAGCAAAATGCATAATCCACTAGTTTCGCAAATTGTCACGTATGAAAATAAAATCTGGACTTTACAAATGATTAAGTCAAAATTGCAACAAATTTTTAAACGCGAAAATTGTGAAAAAAAAATTGTTTCGATGATTATGAAGACTATTAAGGAAATATTAAGAATCAAGATATAAGAGCCAAGAATATTGATGAAATTAGGACTTTTTTAAATAGCATATGTTTTTAAGCAATTAATTTAAATTAAAAGTAAACCATTATATCATACTGTACTATATATAAAACTAGTTTAAATCTCATGAAGTGTAATCAACTGAAGTCATCAATAAATTTTTTGCAAATCCAACAACTTGAAAGATATTAGCATTTAGTTAAAAATACTCGTATCTTATTAAAATCAAATTATAAAACTCAAAAACGTTCAAAAAAAGAATGAGCATAAAAAAATGAATCAAATTCCATAATCTGCATTTTTTTCACATATTAAATGAAATTTTTCAGTACTTTAGAAAAAATTGATTGGTAATTAGTATTCAACTTTATTCTGTTTTTTAGCGAAACGTTATCTTTTTTTCATTCTCAGTTTGAGATTCAGTAATTAAAATTGATAATATAAAATTTGCTCATAATCAGCATTTTGCCACCCAAGTTCTTCAACTTTATATTGAAAATGATTAATTACTTCGAAGTAATGCGTTTACGAGAGTAATGCAAATGAAGTGTAATGAGAATATTAACACTCAATTTATGGAATTTTTTTTAATATTATTTTAAATAGACACATAAAATAAAACCTTATTATGTTAAGTTTACACATAATTACATATTATGTGTAAAAAAGTTGTGTAAAATTGTTAGTAAATAAATTTCTATAAACTAATTTACTAATAGCATTTAAGTCATATTAACTTATTTGAAAATGTAATTAACTAAAAATTTGTTTCGGTACAGCCTATTACCGATATTTTTTGATAATATATCAAATTAAATAATATAAGAAATCATATGTTATTTAGTTTTTCATAATACATACATTTATAATACATAAAAAATTATTTTTAAAAAAAGTTTAGTAATTTTGAAAAGTGAAAAGTGTTACCAATGAGGTTAGGATCGAAAATCATACCTTCGAATACTTTTTCTTTTATGTTATTGTTTACTAAAAAAAGGAAAAATTAACTTTCCTCCACTAAGTTGAGCTTATCTAAGGTGCAAGATATTAGAAGACACTATTGGGGTAAAAACGAACTGCTTGCAAATAAGTTTTTATGGCTTCTGAAAATCCAAGAAAAATGAAAGTCAATAATATGGAAATAGAATGGGAGAACAATGTTAAATACTTAGGTCTAAGTTTTGACAGAAGATAGACTTGGGTAGAGAATATAAAGCTCAAGAAGATGGTTTCTCGTAAAGTTAAGAAAATAAAAGTTCTAGAAAACACAAGAAATGTTAAGTAATAAAAATAAAATTCTTTTAAAAGGAAATAAATAAAATAAAAATAACTATACTTTATGGATGTGTCACTTATGGCAATGCTGCTGCATCCCTAACGGATGCGTAAGTTGATGCTGATTTTGCTATTGCATACCGTTTCTTTAAATTTTCGGATAGAGTTTTTAGTCATCTCTATTAGAGATTTAATTTAT